TGGATAGATGAAAATGCGCAGTGGTCGCCACTTTCGTGGGCTCCTGGGAGGCCCGGCGGAGTAGCGGAGTACGCGGACCCAGGCGGGACCGCGGAATTCCTGGATTGTCTGCGAATTGCGCAGTTCTCGACTGGGTTCCAGGGAGGCGCGGCGTAACAGCGGGGTACGCGGGCCCAGACAGGACCTCGCAGCTCCCTGGGTAGCTACGAACTGCGCAATTGTCGCCAATCTCGTGGGCTGCTCGGAGGCACGGCGGAGCAGCGGAGCACGCGCACCCAGACGAGACGCCACTGTTCCTTGGGAGGCTGCGAGCTACGCTACTGTCGACACTGTCGTGGGCAACTGGGTCCAGCGGAGTCGGGGGCCACGAGCACCCAAACGACACGTCGCTGCTCCCTGGGAGGCTACGGAGTGTGCAATTGTCGCCACTTTCGTGGGCTCCTGGGATGTCCAGCGCAGTCGGGGGCCACGCGCACCCAGACAAGACCTCGCTGCTCCCTGGTTTGCTGCGAACTGCGCCATTGTCGCCACTTTCGTGGGCTCCTGAGAGGTCCAGCGGAGTCAGGGGCCACGCGGATCCAGCCGGGACCTCGCAGCTCCCTCGGTGGCTACGGAGTGCGCAATTGTCGCCACTTTCGTCGGCTTGGAGGGGGGGGGGGCATGGCGGCGATGAGGTCAGCGCAGCTCGTGCTTATATGGCGACGTGTTAACATTGAGCAACGATGCAAACATTTGCTTCCCTATGAGGGTGACAAGAAGGATGAGGAGGGCGGACGGAATGAGGAGACCGAGGACGAAGATGGAAGCGTATCTACTGCTCAGCCGCTGCTCCTTCCCTCATTCCTTCCTTCCGGGATCGATCAAAGACGGGCTCCCAAGAGTGCTCCAACGAGGCCCAAACCGTCATGCTGCCGGAGAGCTTTCCGGGATCATGATTGTCGCCGCCAGTCGAAGGAGGTGGAGGAGGAGGAGGAAGAGGAGGAGGAGGAGGAGGAGGAGGAGGAGGAGGAGGAGGAGGAGGAGGTGGAGGAGGAGGAGGAGGAGGAGGAGGAGGAGGAGGAGGAGGAGGGGGGGTGGAGGCAGAGGATGAGGATGAGGACAACGAGGAGAAGGAGGAGGAGGAGGAGGAGGAGGAGGAGGAGGAGGAGGAGGAGGAGGAGGAGGAGGAGGAGGAGCAACAACATGAGGAGGCGGACGAAAAGGACAAAACAATAAACCCTACTAATATGCTGATCCATCTCTCGCTCCCTGTCTTGTTCCCTTCCTTTTTGCCTCTCCTGCCTCCCTGCTTCCCTTATTTCCTACGCCCGTCCCTCCCCTCTCCTTTTCTCCCTCCTTCCCTCTTCCCCTCCCACGACCTCGACCACGCCGACGGCGCCGACGGCGCCGACGGCGCCGACGACGGCGACGACCCCAGCCCCACACACATCCGTGGCCTCCGGGATTGCGTGCCCGCCATGGGAGTGGATGAGGATAACGATGCTGAGATCCTCGGAATTGGCCAGATCTTTAGCGCGCGCGTGGCGCGCGTGGTTCTACTGAGTATGTCCGTGTGAAATGCTCTAAACGGGGTGTCGCTCCCGCGCCCCCGCCTCTATCGAGCGAGGGTGTTCCAGCAGCCCATGCCGAGAACTGAGGTGTGCTCCAGTACGCGTTTTTTTTTCGACAGCGTTGCAGCAGCTCGCGGCGGGCGTTCTAGCATTTATTGCTTTACAGTTTTACGGAGCGAGGGCTTTCTAGCAGACCGTTCCGAAAACAGGGGTGCGTTCCAACACTGATTGGCTGATGCACGGTAGCTAACCCACCCAGTTGGAAGCAATTGCTACCACATTGAGCAGATATTCTCTTTGGAGCAGCTGTTGCTGCTCTCTCTTCGTCCCCCTCCCCGCCCTCCCTCTTGCGCTTGGCATCAGGATTCGGTTTTCACCTAGGAGTCTTCCATGGAGCCAGTGCGCTCAGTTATCAGGGTCAGGCTGCGCATTGATGGATCGAATGGTGCTGGGAAAGCACAGTGTGTGTATAGCTTCCTGCTGCGCTTGACCCCTCTACGTTTAGAAGCTGTACCGTTCGAGGCACGAACGGTCTACGCACAAAGTCGGTAACCCGCTGCCCTAAGCCACTGTTCTGCGAGTCAGCTTTCGTATGAGCCAGTGCGACGTGCCATGTTTGATTGGCGTAGTCTTTTGACCTCCGCTGCCTTATTGTGGGCGCCACTCTCCCTCGGGCTGAAGGAGCAGGAGGGGGATGCGGTGCTCTGGGAAACGCTTGATGTCGGGCTTGGCTGGCCGTGAGGAGATCAACGCCAAGATGGTGCAACTCCCGCGGCCGCCGTACGACCCCCGGCCGTACAGTCAGCAAGGGGCTTCTATGATAGAGAGGGTGTGCGGGACAACCGCTGGGGTAGCGCGGAGTGGAGCTCCCACGAGGCCGACAAGCATGCAATGTGGTAGCGTTTCGCGCAGGGCAGCACAAACCTGTTAATGCAGCACCAGCAAGGTCAGCAGTAGCAGCAGTGACTCAGTCCTCGATGGGAAGCCGCTGCTGCTGCTTCGCCAGATGTAGTGGTGACATCCTTTGCAGTCACGGCTCAGCTGGTAGCTATTTACAGTCATCGCACAGCTGGTCGCTAGCCATCGCTCATCGATCTTGTGTTGGAGTCGACGTTCTGGGGAACCGCGTCGTCTTCGGCGAGTTTGGCAGCCACTGAGGGTCAGAAGCCCTTGTGTTCTCGGCCCTCGCTCTCCGAACTCCGCCAATGTCGAACGTGTGTTCGCGCGCGCATGTTCCACGTGCTCCTACGGCGCAGCGGCGACGATAGTTGCAGCTGCAGCGGTGGTGACGATGAGCACGGCTGCAGCTTCCAATGCCATGCTAGCGTCTGTGTCTACAACATGTGTGCTTTCACTGCGGGAACATGTCTAGGAGCGTGTGCACAAAACTACGGTTCCGTCTTTGTCTTCTTATGTTAGCTAGCGTGGACCCCAAACAGACAGTCATTGCATTGTGGATGCCCATGCGATGTGGAGCAAGCTATGTGGCGTAAGCTATGTGGTGCAGCGTATGTGGCGAAAGCTAAAGGCGGCAACGAAGCGGCCACGGGCGGCATCGTGGCGAAACCTCGCCGGACCCACGCAGCGCACGAGGCGGCCACGAGGCGGCAACTGGCGGCAACACTTCGAAAACTCGGCGGACCCACCCAGCGCACAAAGCGGCAACGAGGCGGCGCCACGAGGCGGCGACGGGCGGCAATGTGGCCGGACCCACCCAGCGCACGACGTGGCCACGAGACGGCCACAGGCGTTAAGGTTGCGATACCTCATCAGACCGACCCAGCGCACGAGGTGGCCACGAGGTGGCAACGGACGGCAGCGAGGCGAAACCTTGCCAGAACCACCCAGCGCGCGAGACGGCCACGAGGCGGCCGCGGGCGGTAACGTGGCGAAACCTCGCCAGACCCACCCAGCGCATCAGGCGGCCACGTGGCCGCTGCGGGCAGCAACGTGGCGAAGCCTCGCCAGCCCCACCCACTCAGCGCACGAGGTCGCCACCAGGTGGCTAGTACGGAAAGAGCGTGTTCTACCGCTGCTGGCGGAAAACCGGGGGGGGTCACTACCGGTTCGAACCCCACCCCCCCCCCCCCCCCTCCGGAAAACCGGGGGGGGTCACTACCGGTTCGAACCCCTCCCCCCCCCCCCCCAGTTCATCATGAAAAGGGGGGGGGGTCACTACCGGTTCGAACCCCCCCCCCCTCGAAAACCGAGTGGGGGTGCGGACAGTGGTGGGGACGGTGTTGGTGGGGACAGTGGTGAGGGGACAGCGGGACAGTGGTGGGGACAGTGGGGGGACAGTGGGACAGTGGTGGGGACGGTAGTGGTGGGGACAGTGGTGGGGACAATGGTGGGAACAGGGGGGACAGTGGACAGTGGTGGGAACGGTGGTGGTGGGGACAGTGGTGTGGGGACAGTGGGAATGAGGTGGAAACACTGGGACAGTGGAGGGTACAATGGTGGTGGGGACACTGGTAAAGGCGGTGGCGAGGACGGCGGTGGGACAATGGGACAGAGGTACAGTGGGGACAGTGGTGGGGACAGTGGGGACAGTGGTGGGAACAGTGGGACAGCTCAGTGGGACAGCGGAGGAGTCAGTGGGACAGTGGGGACAGTGGGGATAGGCAGTGGTTGGGTCCGTGGAGACAGTGGGGAGAGTGGAACCGTGGTGGGAACAGTTGTGGGAACAGTGGGGACAGTGCGACAGTGGTGGGGGCACTGGTGGGGACAATAGGGACGGTGGTGGAACCAGTGGGGACAGTGGTGGTGAGGACAGTGGTGCTGGGAACACCAGTGGGGGATGTGATGCGGACGGTGGTGGGGACCGGGAGTCGTTTGCTGGCGGTGAGTAGGGGGGGGGGGTTCGAACCGGTAGTGACCCCCCCCGGTTTTCCGGATCCGGAGGGGGGGGGGGGGGGGGGTTCGAACCGGTAGTGACCCCCCCCGGTTTTCGAAGGGGACGGGGGGGGGGGGGGGAGGGGTTAGGGGAGGGGGGGGTTTTGCCGGGGGAGAGGAGGGGGGGGGGGGGGGGGGGGAGTGGTTCCAGCAGGGGGGGGGGGGGGGTTCGGGGGGGGGGGGGGGGATTTTCGGAGGGGGGGGGGGGGGGGAGACCCCCGGGTTCCGGAGGAAAAGGTTGGCAATTTTCCACAGTAAAGCGGCGGTGGATCACGCTCTCTCCTAGTACGGGTGGCCACGTGGCGAAACCTCGCCAGACCCACCCAGCAAACCAGGCGGACACGAGGCGGTCGCGGGCGGCAACGCGGCGGAACTTCGCCAGACCCATTCAATACCTCAGGAAGACAAGGTGTCTCAAGTGCAAACGCTGGGATGTTTTTTTGTTTTTGTTTTTTTTTGTTTGTTTAAATCATGATTCCTGTTCTCCATTTTGACGCTTCCTGTTCGTCCTGTTTCTGTTCTGCTTCCTCTTTTCCAATTCTTCCTCGTCTTCTTCACCATCTCCTTCCTGCTTCCCCTGTGTCTCTGTCATGGAACTCAATGCGAAGTGCTTCGCGTGCAAATGCACCGGCAACTCCGGAACCAGCGAGCTTGTAAGTCGGCACAGGCGTCGTACGCCTCTTTGGACTATTCTGCGTCCTGCTATTCCTGTGCTCATCTCCGTGCTGTATGCTACCGATGTCGCACTTCTTGCTCATATTGACCTCACAGTATCTATCATCTTATCTACTGTATTGTCCTCTAGCGCTCCCGATATAGGAGCACATGGATGCCTCCCATCTTGAGCTTCACTGACTTGTTCCAAAGTGTCAAAGTGTAGATCTCTTGGGTTTGGGAACAGGCGCGGGTCAAACCGCTCAGTGGTCCGAAATGTTCCGACATGCTTCAGCAGTCCAGATTGTAGGAGTCGTGCGCCCACGCCTGAACCAAGCATGAATCCGAATCGGATTGCAGTGGCAAGATCTGCAGAAGTGGTACGATGTCGAAAGCCGTTCTCTCAGAGTCGAGGTCTGCTAGCGCGAGGTCTCGTGAAGGAGAGGGGGCGAGGTCTCGAATTTCGGAAGTACCCTGACATTGCCAGCGGGCTGGGGGCTGAGTATTTCTACCGCGAGGACCAGAAGCATCCGCTGACATATTACCACATGAAGAGCCCGTTATCTGGTGGGCGTCTGGGCCCGATGGGGTAGGCAAAGAAGGAGGCAGTGGGGGACGAAGAGGAGGAGGAGGAGGAGGAGGAGGAGGAGGAGGAGGAGGATGAGGGCCGCATGCAGGTTGAGAAGGACGATGAGTATCATGATGGGGAGAAACACACAGACACAAAGGTATCATGAGGACGATGAGTATAATGAGGGAAATATGGAAAATGGGGGGAAGACGGAAAGCCAGACAATGTGGGAAACTATGGGGCGTCGTGGGATTTATGTGCATGTACTTGTGTGTCCTTGGGCCCCTGCAGAGTAGAGTATGATCAACAACGGCGGGCCAAGATCACTGGCTCGAGCGAGCAGCAAGCCCGGGCCACTCCACCCCTCGCCCCCATAACATTACAGTGGACACCCATGCCAAGAAGCATCCGTCGTGCCTCCAGGGTGCCCTTGGTTTGTTGGGTTTCGATGGTTTTGCTATGGAGAGCGTGACGTTCTCACACCAACATCAGTGGACGTCCTGGGGTTTCAGGGTTGCGTTTCTTGTGGAAGGTTTCTTGTGGTCGAGCCCCTGCTGCAGAAATATTGTTGGAGCAAATGGACATTTGGGGCTGATGTCCGATCTAGCCTGGTGCGTTGCAGGCGCTTGCGCGCGCGGTCCAGCTCAACACAACATGTGCCGAGCCCAAGCAGGAACACACAAACGTGCGCGGCGCTGGGGCGACATCACGGTTCAGCTCTCCCATGCGCGGCCCCGCTTCTTACGACTTTAGGGGAGAGGTGCCTTCGCGGCGTCCACGCGGAACCTCACCACCCACCAAACCACCCCAACCCAACCCGAAGGCTCAAATTTATCCTCGATTTCCAGTGGGGGGGGGTCGGGGAACGTTGAGAAAACACGTGGTATCCGTACCCCCCCCAACCCGAAATTCGGGTCAAATTCGGGTCTTCGGGTTGGGTTGGGGTGGTCTGGTAGGTAGTCAGAACCGTCCCTTTCTCGAACAGAAGAAGCTACTGAGGCCAGACCGACGCTCTCGCGCACGGCCCCGCTTGCGCCGTTTTGGCGAGCGAAACGCATGTACCGCATCCAAGCTGGAGGGCGACTTCAGGAACACATTGCGCGGCGCTGGGGCGAGAGCGACATTTGGCTCTTTCGCCCGCGATGCGTGCTTCGTAAAAAATTGGTGCCGCGCAGACTGCATCGCCGACGACAAACCGAACACATTGAAACTACGAGCGTCGATGTTGCGTGGTGGATAGTGGCGACCCCTGCCTGTACTTGGGGGGCAACGGTTGGCGCGCAAGTAATCGGTATCAGCCAGGAAAGACAGACGAGGGATAGGCTCAGAGGAAATAGTGATAGGTGAGAGGAGGAACGAGCGGGAGAAGGAGAGATGGGGGGATACAAACGAGATGGGGAGGTTGTGTGATTTTCAAGACATTTGTCAACTGCACGTATAGGAGGTCGATAGTGCCATGGCATATGATGCCATTGTTCCATGGCTGTGCAGTATTCCGTGCGTTCTCCCTCACCCTCTCTTTCGCACGCATTTTTTTTTCCTCTCTCTCTCTCTCACACACTCTCTCTCTCTCTCTTTCTCTCGCCCTCTCGCCCTCCATGCCCTCCATCGCTCATAGCCTCCTCTACCCATCTCCAACGACTACATCCTCATCAGCTGAGTGAGCCCGCGGCAGCGAGCTCTCTGGGTCGCGTGCATTCCCTCCCCGTCCGCTTCCCCGCCCCTTTTGCCCTCTCTCCTCCACGGGCGCAGCGGGGCAAAGGTGACGTCGTGGCAGTGGGCGCGACCGACGAGCGGGCACGCGAGGCTCGAACAATCGACAACTATGTCAAGGAGCCTGGGACTGTCGCCATTCCTCAACCCCTTTGGACAGCATCGCGGTCGCCAAAAGTATAGCTATCGGGGCGTGGCAATGATTGCGATTCTTGCCGTCTTGGTTGTGGCTGGATGCCAGCAGAAAACCGATGTCAGTTTTTGTTGCCTCACTTTGGATGTTGAAGTAGGTGTCTATGTCCGGGTCGCTCCTAGTCTGTCATCCCCAGATTGCCCCGCCTTCCCCAGGTTTCCTGGCCTCTGGACGAATGGGGAAGTATCTGTCCTTCAGCTTGGTCTCTGCTGACCTTCCTTCTGCATGCCATCAGCATGGCATGTGGTAGATGCCTACACACTGTTCATTTTTAATTTTTCGAAAGTTCTTCGATTTTTTGGGGGCCAAGGTTCTTTCATTTCGAATTGTTCTATCCTGGGCCTCTTCCTCGCCACTAGGGGGCCAGGGACAATTAGAAACGAGCACAATTAGGAATGAACACGATTAGAAATGAACAACGTGTACAGGAGGAGGAGGAGGAGGAGGAGGAGGAGGAGGAGGAGGAGGAGGAGGAGGAGGAGGAGGAGGAGGAGGAGGAGGAGGAGGAGGAGGAGGAGGAGGAGGAGGAGGAGGAGGAGGAGGAGGAGGAGGAGGAGGAGGAGGAGGAGGAGGAGGAGGAGGAGGAGGAGGAGGAGGAGGAGGAGGAGGAGGAGGAGGAGGAGGAGGGAGGAGAGGAGGAGGAGGAGGGAGGAGGAGGAGGAGGAGGAGGAGGAGGAGGAGGAGGAGGAGGGGGAGGAGGGGAGGAGGATGAGGAGACGGGCAAGAACGTGCTGACGTGGTGATCGACCTAATCATTCCGCCTTGGTATGGAGCCAATGCTACAGGCAAGGCGCAGCCCAGCCAGCCGGTGCTCCCTGATAACCTGGTGCAATGGTGCGCTCCTTGGTTTAAATCTTGTGAGTATCACTTCCCTCCCCCCTTCCTTTCTGCTCGACTTTTCCTGCCACCTTCCCTTGTTCCTCCCCCTTCACTCGCACTTGCTTCCTCCCTGGTCAGATCCCTCCTTGTTTCTCCGTCTCCCTTGCCCTTTTTCTCCCTACTTCCCTTTCCCTTCGGTTTCCTCCCCTCCCCTTTCTCTCACCCTCTCCTCTCCCGCGCCTGTTATGGTGGGAGCTGGGGCCCCCGCACATTAGGACAGTGACATTGCTTCAGTGTGGTGGTCTTGGGGCTGTCTTTGGGGCCTCTTGGGCCGTCCTGTGCGCATCTGAGGCCGTCTTGGAGCCCTCTTGGGCCGCCTGGGGGCCCTCTTGGGGGCCTCTCGGGCCGTCCTGCAGCGATGGAAGCTTGAAAAGTCGAGCACCCCAGCAATATTGAAACACCTAAGGGCAGTCACAGGCTTTGGCCTCTTGAGGCCCTCTTGTGAATGCTCTTTGACCGATGGCGCGGCGATCCGACGCCCTCTTGGACCGTTGTGGAGTCCTCTTGGCGCCCTCATGGCCCGTGTTGGGGCCGCCGTGGGCTCGAGCAGGTCACGCGGCAAGACGCGGCGTGCCCCAGGAGATTTGGCAATTTTGGGTCCGGGTGCCCGGGATAATCTTCAGCATTGAGGGCTGAGGCCGAATGAATTAGGCAACGGACCTTGGGGGCATTCTAGTTCGTGCCACAGGGGCATGTTGGCGGATGTATGTGTATATATATATATGTATGTATACATACATATATATACACGCATACACACAGACATACGTCGACATATACATATACATATACGTATATGTGTACATACATATGAATGTATAATCCGGGGTTCCAACATATGTTTGTACGCACAATTACATACATACATACAAACATACATACATACATACATACATACATACGTACGTACACACATACATACATACAGACATACATATGTACGTACATACATGCACACATACATATGCACACACACATATATATATGTACTGGCATGTGTGTATATATATATATATATATATATACATACGTATATTCACACACGATGCTTGCACTTAGGGTTTTCTATTTCTTTTCTGAGCAACTGGGCGTGCCCGTCGGTATGGCGGCCACGTGGTCGCCGTCGCCGCCCCGACGCCGCCTCGTCGTCGCCGTCTTCTTGGCCTGCCCGTCGGTCTGGCGGCCGTGTGGTCGCCGTCGCCACCCCGTCGCCCTTGGCCTGCCCGTCGGTCTGGCGGCTATGCGGGCGCCGTCGCCGCCCGTGGCTGTCTGGGCCTGTCTGACTTTGCACTGCTTTGCGTTGCTGTGCATTGCATTCCATTGATTTGCATTGCTTTACATTGCTTCGCGCTGCTGTGCATTGGCTTGCGTAGATTTGCATGGCTTTGATTTGCGTTGCATGGACTTTCACTGCTCGGCATTGCTTTGCGCTGCTCCTCACTGGTTTGCGTTGCTTTACAATTCTTGGGATGGCTCGGCATTGCTCTGCATAGTATAGCACTGGGTCTGCCCGTCGGTCTGACGGCTATGTTATCGCCGTCGCCGACCCGTCGCCGTCTGGGTCTGCGGTACTTTGTAGTGTTTGGCATTGCTTTGCATTGCATTCCATCGATGTAAATTGCTTTCCTTGCGTTGCTTCGCACTATTTTGAATTGGTTTGCATTGCTTTATCTTGCTTTGCATTGCTTTGAGTTGCTCTGGTTTGCATTGCTTGGCATTGCTTTGCGCTGCTCTTCATGTCTTTGCATGTTTTGTATTATGTTGCATTGCTTTGCATCGCTTCGCATCACTTTGCATAGCTATGCACCGCTTTGCATTGCTTTGCGCTGCTTTCCATTGCTTTGCATCGCTTTGCATTCTCCAAACAGTGTTTGCAGTTATGGGCCCTTTCTTCTCTTCTCAGGAACTAGGCCTGCGGGCTGCCCTGACTGCCATGTAGCCGCCGTCGCGGCCTCGTCGCCGCCCGTCGCTGCCCGTCGCCTGGGCCTGCGGGCCGTTCTGGCCTCCATGTCGCCGCCGTCGCCACCTCGTCGCCGCACCACGTAGCTGGCAGCACGCACATCGATACACACACATATATATATATATATATATATATATATATATATATAGATACATGTATGTATGTACACGTGCATATATACATATCCACATGTTTATGTATTTGTATACACACATATTGCATACATAGCTTGCGCCGCACATATTGCACCACGTAGGCTGCACCCAATATGTTGCACCATGTAGATTGCATCACATATCTTGCTCCACGTAGCTTACACACCATAAATTGCACCACGTAGCTTGCACCTCGCATGCGGCACAACACACACACACATATATATATATATATATATATATATATATATTGCACCACATGGTTTGGACCGCGTAGTATGCTAGAGCACGCTGTCCGGGGCCCACGCTGCCAACAGACATGTGTATGTATGTATGCATGTGTATGGAGGATAATGCATGTATGTATGTATGTATGTATGTATGCAGGTATGTATGTATGTACGTACGTACGTACGTATGTATGTATGTATGTATGTATGTATGTATGTATGTGGCATGTACGTATGTATGTATGTATGTATGTATGTATGTATGTATGTATGCATGTGTATACACATGCCTGTGTACACATTGTGTTTGTGTGTGTGCGTGTGTGTGTGTGTGTGCTTTTGTTGGTCTTAGTCGACAGTCCGTTTTCCTTGATTACCCAGACAGTGCTTGCACGTAGGGGTTATCATCCCATCAGGCGAACTGGGCCTGTTTGCTGCCCCAGCGGCCCCGTTCCTGTCCGTCGCCGCCCTATCTAAACGCGTTTGCCGCCCCGGCGGCTCCGATCCCGTCCGTCGCCGCCCCGTCTGGGCCCCTGTGCCGCCCCCACGGCCCCGTTCCCGTCCGTCGCCGCTCCATTCGTCCAAATTCCCGCCAGTGGCCGCCGCCCCGTCGCCCCCCCCCCCCTTAGCATTGCAATTGCATTGCATGGCGTTGCTTTGCGCTGCTTTGCATTTGCATTGCGCTGCTTTGAACCGCTTTGCGTTGCTTTGCAGGTCTTTGCGTCGCGTTACATTGCTTGGCGCCGCATGGCTTGGCATTGCTTGGCATTGCTCGGCATTTCCTGGCATTGCTCATTCTTCCTTTGCATTGCTTTTCATTGCTTTGCGTTGCCTTGCATTGCTTTGCGTTACCCTCCATGGCATTACGTTGACTGTCAGTGCGTTCTTTGCGCTGCTTTGCGTTCACTTGCGTTCACTTGCGTTGCCTGGCATGCGCCACATGATTTTCACCACATATATTGCACATCATAGATCTTCCTTTCTGGTTTTCCCGACCCCTCGCGGGGGATGCGAAATTTACATATTATTATGGACCCATCGTTCATTCGTAGTACGACTTCATACCATCCCAGCTAAAAACCTTACAGGCCCCTCCCCTTCATCTTTGTCAGAGAATACTATGCGCGCACATTCGTTTATCAATGTCATAAGTTTGTAGAACATGTGGCAACGTCGACGTGGTATCCTTAGGTTTCGTAAGAATTTCGAGACCGAGTTCCCCGAACACATTTACATTTAAGATACCGTGGGTTTGCGACCAGAGTTGTTCAACAACAAGTATGCGCGCAAGCGCTCTTGTGATTTCTGACCGGAACCATCGAATGTCGACACTGTCATCAAGCGCGACCAAGCGGGCCTCTCGCGCGCGCAAGTCACAGTCATTCGAACGCCTTTTCGCGCTTGCATGGGGGTGCGTCCCTTTTCAAACAATACCATGCGGACCATTCGCGCCCGCCGGAGGCGCGCGCGTGTCGAAATCGTTCCAGAACCTCCATCGCCGACGCGTGGACACCATCATCGTCATCGGCGCAATCAGCGTTGGCGCCGACATTGGCCTTGTTGTCGTCATCGTCACCGTCGTCACAAGCATCGGTTGCCGACGTCGCCATGATACCGCGCCTGCCCGGGTCACCGAGTCGCACTGAAGTGCCCGCGCGTCAGCGCGGCCTGCGGGACGCGCTGGGGAGCCCCAGCGGTCA